GGAGCACTTTCCCGCTGGGCCTCCCCTGCCCGGTGCTGCCGTGAATGCCAACCAGGAAAGCCTGATGGGCCGGGCAGAGAGGGCAAGACCCTGCGATGAGAATCCATCTCCCTCCGCGGCTCGCTCTCATTCCCGCCACCTCTGTGCTTCTCTCCGGTTCAGGCCCAGGAGCCGATCCCGCCGGGAAGCCCGCCCGGAAGTTCAGACAAGGTAGGAGACCACGTTGGTGCATTTCCCGGGGAGGGAGGCGTTTGGCATGGGTCTTGGCACCCGGAAAATGGTTTTCCGGAAACATCCCACGTCGCAGAGGATTCTGGGCTTTTCCTTGGAGTCGGTGGATCCATAATGCAGTCCTGCGGGAACTCGGTTTGTGTGTTTTACCATTGAGCACAAGATGGCAGTTCTTCATCACGCTCCGTCCGCCTGTCTGTTTCTTCCCGTCACATCCCTTGTGCACCGAGATCTTCCTCTTTCTTCTTCTCCGAATTTCCTTTTGTCCGGGTCTATGGAGAGAGCATGGGCCCGCGTGACCGTGTGAGGGGGAGGCACACGGCACAGGGCTTCGGACACACCCTGTGGAAGGATGACGTGAGAAGGGAACGGCCTCCGGAAGAGGAAGGCGGAGAAGAGTCTTCTCCTGTGACGAGGACTCAGGATCTGCTCTCAGGAACTTCCCCTCCTGCCCCGAGGTGCTCAGCACGGGCCCCGGGGTTTGTTGCCCCGAGGGCCGACTTGTCCTGTAACGGGAGGTGTGTGCCTTTTGACCACCTTCTTTCTTCCCATTGCCCCTCCTCTCACACTCTCTCATCCTCTCTCTCTCTTTCTCTCTCTCTTCTCTCCTTCCTCTTTCTCTCTCTCATCCCTCTCCCTCCTCTCTCTCTCATCCCTCTCCCTCCTCTCTCTCTCTCTCTCATCCCTCTCCCTTCTCTCTCTCTCTCTCTCTCTCTGTTTGGTGGGCTCTTTTTTATTAGGTTCTACATGTCAGTGAGATGATACAGTATTACAACGCCCTCAAGTTCGTCCATGCTGTGACAAATGGTAGGATGTCCTCATTTTTTTTATGGCTGAGTGACCGTCCACTGTGTAGGTGTGTGTGTGTGTGTGTGTGTGTGTGTGTGTGACAGCTTCTCTAGCCATTCACCGTCGATGGCGCCTGCGTTGCTCCCCTGTCGTGGCTGCTGTAGTGAAGGCTGCACGGACCCGGCGCACCCGGACGTGAACTAGCGATGAGGGAGAGGACACATCTGCTGTGGCTGCTGAGCTCACTGTAGACTGAAGCCACTCAGCCGTGAGCAGACGCCAGCCGCATCGCCCAATAACCCCCCATTAAGGTCTGGGGCGCCCCCCTCCGCCCCCCGGAACTGGATTTGTGCGCTGTTGTCAGTGACGCGTCAGAAATGAGAGATCCGGGGAGTATCAGGGGTCCCGTGGGAGACTTCGAAGTTCAGCGCCTGCTCTGGATTTAGGGGGACACCTTTTTGGAGGTGGCTTTCCCACTGGCCGGGTACATCCCCGAGGTCGGCTGGCCGAGGGCGCAGGCGGCCACGTGGCCTCTGGGGGGCGGGGCTGTGTCCATCCGTATCAGCATGACCCAGGGCTGCTGTGGGGGATAGGGGGCGGGGGAGGGGGGCAGGGGAGGGAGGAATAGACCCCGCCTGCCCCCCCTGCCACCCCAGCTCTCCTCTCAGGATTGCATCGGCCTCATGGCACTGGCCCCACGTGCTCCCAGCCCTGGAGGCGGACTGTGTGAGGGCGTGGGGGCGCGTGTTGTGATCATGGCCCCAGAGGACCCCTCCCCGCCACCTCTTGTGGAGGGATCGGCTTTTGCTTCTGTCCAGCTTCCAGAGGCGGCAGTCTCCCTGTTAGGCCCTCCAACGCCAGCGGTGAGGACTGGCCGCCTGTCCCTCCAGCCTCCTGCGGCCCGGGGCCCACAGCCTGCGATGGGGGCGGGGGACACTCCCTCTTACGGACACCTCCACGCAGCGCGCCCTCATGGCAGCCTCGCCCGCCGCGCCTTTGTCCGGCTCCTGTGCGGCGAGGCCTGCTTTGGGTGTGAGCGCTGGATACAGTTCTGTGGGCACTGGCCCCGCTGTCTTCCACGCTCGGTGGCTCTGGCCCGGCACAGCCTCCCGGGCCCCCGCCATGCACAGGGCCGCGCGGCCAAGTCTCGCAGCCCCCCGGCTGTCAGGTCCCTCGCTCCCCACGTCAGGCCGGGGCGGTGGCCACCAGCACGGGAGCTGGGATGGCGCCCCGGGCCTGCTCTCTGGGCGACCGTGGCAAATGGCTCTGCCCTGGTGCGCTTCAGAGGGACACGGGGGGAGCCTCTGGGTCGTCCCAGAGGCTCCATAAAGGCTGCGGGTTCATGGAGCGTATTCCCGGGCGCCTGGCAGAGCACATTTAAAAAAAAATATATATGTTTTCATGGATTTCAGAGAGGAAGGGAGAGGGGGAGAGAGGGAGAGCTAGGAACATCAGGGATGAGAGAGAATCGTGGATCGGCTGCCTCCTGCACGCCCCCTACTGGGGATGGAGCCGGCAACCTGGGCCTGTGCCCTGACCGGGAATGGAACCGTGACCTCCTGGCTCAGAGGTCGGAGTTCAGCCACGGAGCCACGCCGGCCGGCCTGTCATGTACCTTTTTGCTCCGACTTTTCCTCACTCCCTTCCTCGTTCACAAGGCCAGCTCCTCCCCTCCTCCGCTCCTCATCCCTCGCTGCGCACAGCTCCTCCCCTCTGACTCCCACGGAGGCGCCTGCTTCCTGCTCTCCAGCCGAGAGCCCTCCTGCTCGGCGCCCCGACGTTTCCCGGTGGCGAGAGGCGGCACCTGAATCAAGGGCCCTCTTCTGACACCGCCACCCAGGTGGGGAGACCGGGGGCTCCCTCTCCTGCCCCCAACCCCCGGAGAAGGTGCCCCACCTGTGCTCGGCCCTCGCTGCGGACACCACCGGGACCCCGCCCGCACACAGCGCACCCTCAGGAAACATGCTCCTGAGGAGCCGCGGCCTGCCTTTCTGAGCGAGTCCGGGACAAGGCACTGACCAAAGAAACCCACGCGGCCAGCGTGGCTCCGTGGCTGAGCGTCGACCTATGAACCAGGACATCACGGTGTGATTCCCAGTCAGGGCACAAGCTTGCGTTGCATGTTTGGTCCCCAGTCGGGGGCGTGCAGGAGGCAGTGGGTCAATGATTCCTTCTCATTATTGATGTTTCTGTCTCTCCCTTCCTCTCTGAAATTGTGTATCTATCTATCTATCTATCTACGAATTTTTTTTTTTAAAGAAAAATCCTCCATCCGGCCTCGCCCTTGCTCCTTCCTGCCTCTCCCTGGCTGTGCTCCGCGGCACCTGCTCGCACTCCCTCCTCTCCCAGCCTCAGGCTCCCGGTGTGACTGAGGCCTGGCGGCCGGTGCCACGGGAACAGCATGACTGGACGTCTCCACTTCATCCGCTGCGTTCCCAATGAGTCCCTTCGCCTCTAACTACGCGTGAAGTCCACCCCACCCCCACGGAGCGGCCTCCTACCAAAACCAGCCTCCCTCTGTTCTGTTCACACGCAATCTCCCGGAAACACCTCACCCTGCCACAGCCTCTCTCTCCGGTGCTTGGATGGGACCTGCCAGCTGCCGGGAAGCCGCTCTGCTTTCTGTCCATCGCCTGCAGAGGGCGCCTGTGGGTCTAAGATGGGGTGATTGACACTCGGACGGGGCGTGGCTACTGCTACAACATCCGATTTTAACAGAACCTTACAGGGAAGGAATGGGACCTATCCTACGCCTCTCTCTGTTTCTCCTTGTGTGTGTGTGTGTGTGTGTGTACACATATACATGTATGTATATATGTATGTATATCTGCATCCGTGTCTAGTTATGCACAGGATTCAGGACTACACCCGTTTTCTTCCTATGAACTGTTTCCTCCATTGGGTCTGGTCAGTACTATTTAAACTATAGGAATCCTGTCCATGAAAACACCTGCATCAAAACAGGTATTTCCTCCCCGACAGAGAAGGCGGACTCTGTAGGGCCCCGTTCTGAGAAGCGTCGCGCGGCAGCCCGCTCCCCTGGGTGACTGGCTTGAGGGGCGTGAGAAACAGCACGCAGCCACGAGCAAGAACTCCACGGGATGCGTCCCTGCAAGTGTTCTAAAAAATCAGAACAAAGCTCATTTATTGGAGTCCCGTCTTCGTCGCACACACCGTGGCGGCGAGAGGAACACACCGAGGGTAGTCTCTTTTTTTTTCTTTCGAAAGCGTCTACTCGAGATAAAAAGAACAAGGTCACCAGAGACGTGTGGTTTGTTACGTTAAAAAAAAAAAACCTGATAGATTACGTGTTTCTATTGCCTGTTAGCGCGGCCTAAGCCTCTTTAACGACTGGTTACAAAAAACGGAAACGCCCGGGTGCGAAGGCAAACATCCAAGTCAGTGGCTACAACGCTGCAGCGCCGTCAGCCACGCCATTCGGAGCAGGTAACAGTCTGGCCGTGGGTGGTCGCGGGAGCTGGAGGTCTGTGGACCCGGGGGCTGCCCAGGCTCCCGGCCGCCCCTCAGCGCTTTTCGGACGGAGGACGACGCGGTGCTTTCTGCCGATGGCTTCGGAAGGCGGGGTCACGCTGCTGGCCGCAGCGCAGCGAACCCCACCCTGTCACGGATGATTGCAGGGAGCAGGGCCGTTCGCGCAGCATCGTGGAGGTCAGCAGGGCGACAACCCACACCGGAGAACAGTCGTGATAGAATCATAACCGTGAGAAGGATAAGGATAAAAACTGAACACACTCCGGAAGCCCAGGCTCGCTGCCAGCCACGTCAAACTAGCGATAGCACTCCACTAACAAAAACACACAAAGGAACAACAACAACAACGAAACTGGGGTGACCGCCCGTGCCCTCGCTCTGCCCCAAGCACACAGGACACAAATCCCGCCCCGCCCCGCGTCGCTTTTGCAGAATAAAGCAAACGCGTCCTTGTGCTCCTTCCCGCCAGAAGCAGCGTGGCCCCGGCGTTACCACATGTAGTAGCTCCTGGACGTGTCCACCTGGGCCGCGGGCTTGGCCTCCGCGGCCGCGGCCCCGTCCTTGTCCTTCTCGGCGTCCGCGTCCCAGAGGTTGATGAGCGGCGGGTACAGCTCGTTGAGCGGGATGGATGAGGTCTTCTGCATGTACTTCTTCAGCGAGTGGTGGTAGTTCTTCCTCTTGAACCTCTTGGCCACGTACGCGGCCGTGGACGCGAGGCTGACCACGGCGAACATGGAGCCCATGACGGCGGCCAGGGCGGTGCTGGCGTCCTGGTCGGAGACGTCGAGGGCGAAGGCGGCCGTCTTGGTGGTGACGTTGACGCAGGAGCGCTGCGTCTGCTGGTGGACGCTGGCCACGGTGAGGCACACCTCGTAGGCGGTGGCCGGCTGCAGGTGCGTGAGGTTATACTCGTGGACGTCCACGGGCACACGGGCCGTGTAGGTGATGTGCGGGTTGTCCACCTTCATGGTGGCCGAGGACCACTTGAGGTTGGACGCCATGACGTTGGAGGCCACCTTCCAGGACACGAGGATGGAGTGGGACGCGGTCTGCTTCACGTACATCTTCAGCACCTGGGCCCCGTCCGGGAGGGTCCCGTTGACCCTCACCGTGACCACGCGCGTGTCCGCCCCCTCTGCGTTCTGGGCCACGCAGGTGTACCTGCCGGAGTCCTCCGCGCGGACGTCGGCGATGGCCAGGGTGCCCTCGCCGCTCAGCGTGTACCGGTCGGAGCGCGTGTCCCCCGTGACCTTCCGGCCGCGCGGAGTGACCCAGTAGATCTGTGGCTCGGGCTCGGCCAGGGCCCGGCAGTCCAGGAGCACCGTGGCGCCCAGCGCGGCGCTCAGGCGGCCGGGGAAGGCGTCGCGGGCGATCATGGGCAGGCAGCGCTCGCCGGCGTCCCGGGCCAGCGCGTCCTTCACCGGCCGGCCCCGCAGCTCGGGCGGCGCGGCGCACAGCATGGACAGCGGCTCCATGAAGCGGATGCTGGTGGAGTTGGCGGCCACCCAGCGCAGCACGCAGTCGCAGCGCAGGGGGTTGCTGTGGATGCTGATCTCGCGCAGGCTGGGCAGCGAGGCCACGGTGGCGCGGTGCACGGCCTGCAGCGCGTTGTTGTTGAGCATGAGGCTCTCCAGCGCGGGCACGCCGCGGAAGGCCCGGCGGTGCACGTAGGACAGCTTGGGGTTGTTGGTGGCCTCCAGCTTGGTGAGCTCGGGCAGGTTGTCGAGGGCGAAGCGGTCCACGGACACCAGCTCGCCCATGTTGTTGAGCCCCAGCTCCTTCAGCCGCAGCATGTCCCGGAAGTCCCCCTCCTGGATCTTGCGGATGGGGTTCTTGTTGAGGTCGAGGAACTTGAGGTTGGGGACCTTCTGCAGGGCCGGCTGGGGCACCCGGGCCAGCCTGTTGTCGTAGAAGGACAGGCTCTCCAGGCTGTCCAGGCCCACCAGCGCGCTGCCCGGCACGTCGGTGAGGCACATGCCCGCCAGCACCAGGCTCCGCAGGTTGGCGAGGGGCCGGAAGTTCATGTCCAGGATGCCCACCACGGGGTTCTCGCCAATCATGAGGATCTCCAGGTTGGGCGTGGCCTCGAACCAGCGGCTGTCGATCACCCCGAGGCGGTTGGAGTTGAGGTGCAGCCGCAGGAGGCTGCGCAGGCCGGCGAAGGCCTGCGCCGAGATGGCGCGGATCTGGTTGTGGTTGATGTAAAGCTCCTGCAGGCTGCCCAGGCCCTGCAGGCAGCGGTCGGGCAGCTCGGCGATCTGGTTCTCCTCCAGGTGCAGCGTGGTGAGCCGGCTCAGGTTGGCCAGCCCCACCTCGCGGATGCTGCTGAAGTTGTTCTGGGACACGTCCAGCTCCGTGAGGTTGCAGAGCCGCTGCAGCTCGCCGGCCGTGGCCGCGATGCTGTTGCTCTGCAGCAGCAGCACCTGCGTGTCGCCGGACAGGTTGCCGGGGATGCGGGTGAGGCGCAGGTCGTTGCAATCCACCGTGGCGGCCTCGCGGTAGGTGGACTGCGGCGTGAACCAGGGCCGGACCTCGCACACGCACAGCTGCGGGCACTCGCCGCTCTGCAGGGAGGGCCCGGCGAGGGAGGCCAGCAGCAAGCCCAGCGCCAGGCCGGACGCCGCCGCCGCCGCGGGGACAGGTCGCATCCTGGCCATGCCGGCCGCCGGCCGCCGCCCAGCCGGCCCGCCCCGCCCGCCCGCGCGCCTCTCAGCAGCGGGGGCCCGCCCCGGCCTGGCCCGCGGGCATCCACGCGGAGTCTGGGTGGCGAGGCGGAGTGCTCTGCAGCCCGCGGGGACGGATCTCCGGGGTGTCCGGAGGCCGGGACGCCCCTAGGGGCTCTCAGCGGCGGCTCTCCATCCCTGGCTCGCCCACTCGGGTCCCTCGGCCTGATCCGGTCTGCAGGTGTGCCTGGAATGCGATGGGGACAGACGTTAGGTTTGTCGCCGTCACCCTCCCTCCAGCCTTCCCCGGCCTGCTGAGCAGCACAGTCCCTCCCAAAACAAAGTGTCCAAGGAGCTCAGCAAGCTAGATTCTCTGCGCTGAACTAGTTCCCCCTGACAGTTAACCTGGGACTGCTCATGTTACTGGGTAAAATCATCATCACCACACACACACACACACACACACACACACACTCTAAATAGGATCCTTCAGAAAAACCCACACGTTATGAACTACACACACAGCAGTGATTTCAGAAACTACATGTACCGGTTGTCAAAATACACATACACACACGTTAGTCGCTAACAGCTCAATTTTGAAAATAGAGGTATTTTAATAAACATGCCTTTGTCATCATTCAAAGTGTCTTATGCATTCTTGGGGGACACCCTATATATGTATGGCACCGAAAAGTAAAAAAAATGTGTGTTGATTGATTTCAGCGAGGAAGGGAGAGGAACATCAGAGAATCATTGACTGGCAGCCTCCTGCAGGCTTCCTACTGGGGGTTGGAGCCTGCCACCCAGGCCTGTGCCCTTGGCCAGGAATCAAACCGTGACCTCCTGGGTCATAGGCTGATGCTCAACCACGGAGCCACCGTGGCCGGACTGCCGGAAGCTCTTCATGGAGGGGTTTTATCTCCTCCTCCCGTGGAGGGCGGGAGGATGCAGGCGCTGGTACGGACGGAGCTTCCCGCTGGGTCTGAGCTCCGTGTGGGTGGCTGGCAGCAGCAGAGCGCGGCCTGGCCAGAGCCTCCCACAGGATAGTAGGAAGGCAGCCTGGGAGCAGAACCGGCTCCTCCGAGGCTTTCTATGGCCTGCGGTTGGCTTGCAGGATCCGGGTGGCAGGAGAACAGGAATAATGACATCACTGCCATGCTAATCACCTAGCCCCGGGGTCGGCAAACGCCTCAGTCCACAGAGCCAAACAAACATCAACAGGACAACGGTTGACATTTCTCTTGAGAGCCACATTTTTTAAACTATTCAGATAGGTACATTGTTATTAACTCAATTAGGGTACTCCTCGCCTGGCCTTCGCTAAACACTCAAGGGGCCAAAGAGCCGCATGTGGCTCGCGAGCCGCAGCGCGCTGACCACTGAGCGCGTGGGACTATGTGACCGCCAGATGACCTGCTAGACCCTGAGAGGGATTCCCGGCTCGGGTCCGGGGGAAGGTGCCCTCAGGAGCCCCGTGCAGCTCTGCTCTGAAGGCGGCCTCGGAGCCGCTCATCGCGCATCCCGCTTACAGACACGCACCTCCTCCCTCTGCTCGGAAGACCTACTTTCCCAGGCAGCACCTGCGAGGTCCCCCGGGCCTGCGGAGGTGGCCCAGTTCGCGGGCGGAGGAGCAAACGCCGGGCTCAGCAGTTCCTAATCGGAGCACTTCGCTCGCTTCTCTGCTGGCTCTCCGGTCCCCAGAGGAACACCGGCTTGTCCTTGCCCTGCTTTCTTTCCACTTCTCCCCTTTCCTCCTGTATCTGTGGTGGTGGTTTTTGTTCAGTGACGGGGGCTCAGGCAGGCTCTGGTGTGTGTGGGCAGTGTGCAGGCACAAATGCACTTGTCACAGGGTCACCCCGAGGACCCCGGCTGCCATCGGGTGGGCGGGCTGTCCGTGAGGTGCCAGAGGCACAGACCGGCTTGCAGAGAGCAGGTGCCCAGCCCTCCTGGAGGCGGTGCCCAGCCCCACACGTCACCCTCAGGCGCCTCTGCTCGCCATGAGCGCGTGGGACTATGTGACAGCCAGATGACCACGGGGAAACCGGTCCTCAGTTTTAAAAGAAACATGTGAACTTGATCTTTGCAGCTTGTCCTAGGGCCTCGCAGGCAAGGCGAGCACTCACACACGAGCTGTCTCAGCTCTGTGCCAGCATCACTTCCCTGCAATGCTGTGAAGAGCCACTCACCCGACACAGCGTGAGGGACGCTTACACCTGGCACCTGTCAGTCCCTTTAACCCTGAGAGTCTGTCACGGCTAAGGCTGCAGGACCAGGGAGAAGGGATTTTCCCCTCTTTTTTCTGTTTAACTCGCTTGTAGGATTGGGCAAGTTCCTTGTTTTTCTTCATAAGAAATGAGTGGTTTGCATAGTCAGTCGTCAAGTAGCAATTTAGCATCGCCGAGTTGGGAGAGGATGGGAAGCTAAGTGGACGGAAGGCCTAGAGGACTGGTGGCTGAGCAGACGGGAGGCTGAGGGGATGGAGGCTGAGCGGATGGGAGGCTGAGCGGACGGGAGGCTGAGGGGACAGGAGGCTGAGGGGATGGAGGCTGCGCGGATGGGAGGCTGAGCGGACGGGAGGCTGAGGGGACAGGAGGCTGAGGGGATGGAGGCTGCGCGGATGGGAGGCTGAGCGGACGGGAGGCTGAGGGGACAGGAGGCTGAGGGGATGGAGGCTGCGCGGATGGGAGGCTGAGCGGACGGGAGGCTGAGGGGATGGAGGCTGCGCGGATGGGAGGCTGAGCGGACGGGAGGCTGAGGGGACGGGAGGCTGAGGGGACAGGAGGCTGAGGGGATGGAGGCTGAGGGGATGGAGGCTGCGCGGATGGGAGGCTGAGGGGATGGAGGCTGAGGGGATGGAGGCTGCGCGGATGGGAGGCTGAGGGGATGGAGGCTGAGGGGATGGAGGCTAAGCGGACGGGAGGCTGAGGGGATGGAGGCTGAGCGGACGGGAGGCTGAGGGGAAGGAGGCTGAGGGGAAGGAGGCTGAGGGGATGGAGGCTGAGGGGACGGAGGCTGAGGGTACGGGAGGCTGAGCGGACGGGAGGCTGAGGGGATGGAGGCTGAGCGGACGGGAGGCTGAGGGGATGGAGGCTGAGCGGACGGGAGGCTGAGCGGAAGGGAGGCTGAGGGGACGGGAGGCTGAGGGGATGGAGGCTGAGGGGATGGGAGGCTGAGCGGATGGGAGGCTGAGCGGACGGAGGCTGAGGGGATGGAGGCTGAGCAGACGGTGGATGAGCGGTCGGGAGACTGAGCAGACACAACAGGAAGCGACACCTGGGCTGCTTTGTTGCTCCTTTTTAGCACCAGCCAGTGCGGTGACATGAAAGCTGCCACGGAACCCATTCATTTTATCTTTTTGCCAGTTATTTTAATTCTCGTAGTATGCCCATATGAAATGATTGCTCTGTAATTACACCGTGATTGCATGTTAAATAAACGTGAACTCCTCCGTGTGGCGGCCTCGCTCTGCCTCGCCGGCTCCGGCTCTTCCCGCCCTTCCCGCCCTCCCCAGGCCGTGGCGTCCTCACGGCGGACGGAGACTGTGCCAGGCCGTGCCAGTCCACGCTGCCAGCGGCCCGGACGGCGCGTTCGGGACGGCAGACAGGCTGCGGGGAGGCAGACTCATCGGGCTGGCACGGGCAGGGCAGGTGCGGACGAGTCCGGGATGCCAGCCAGCCACGCCCAGCAATCCCAGGAGCCTCTGCCAGGCCTGCTTGTGGGCCCAGGCCAGGTCAAGTTCAGTGTCACAGTGAAAGTGACTCTCATCAAGGAACTGGCAAAGGCTTTCACTTCCATTTCAGGGTATTTATTGAAGTTTTCTTTCCTTAAGAAGAGTTCTGTACCATTGTAATCACACACGTGTGTGTGTGTGTGTGTGTGTGTGTAGTATATTTATACATATTTTAATATGTTTATTGATTTCAGAGAGGAAGAGAGAGGTAGAAACATCCATGATGAATCACCCATCGGCTGCCTCCTGCACGCCCCCTGCTGGGCATCGAGCCTGCAACTGGGCATGTGCCCTGACTGGGAATCCAACTGTGACCTTCTGGTTCACAGGTCAAAGCTCAACTACTGAGCCACACCGGCAGGGTTGGTTCTATTTTTTTAATCTGGTGGTAATTTTTACTAACTACCTGACATTTTAGCAGAATTTTTATCTTTAAAAATGGAACATCCAGTGTTCTTAAGGTGGGAGCCTATACCTTTATTTCTTTCATTTTTCCTTTATTGATTTTTAGAGAGAGAGGAAGGGAGAGGAATAAAGAGATAGAGACATCCCCCGGGCATGTGCCCTGACCAGGAATCCAACTCGTGACCTCTTGGTTCTTGGGTTGATGCCCAATCTCTGAGCCACACCGGCCGGGCGGGAGCCTGTATGCTTTAGCTCAGATCTACTGACATTTCTCTAGAGCCTGGCGACTCAGACTTTGCCAGCTAGAAGGCGACGCGTTGAGACTTGAGCCTGGGAACATGCCAAGAACACAGGCCCGCCCTCGGAGACGGACAGGTGGAAATGCACCAACATTTCGCATCAAGCTCCGCTCCTCCAGATTGAAGACGCAGCGCGGGGCGCGAGGCAGTGCCTGCCCTTGGCCTCGGCAGACCCTGGTGCCGTGCTCCCGCAGAGCGCCATCTCCCGGGAAGACGCAAGCGCAGCCATCTGTCCCCGAGCTCTTAAAATAACCCTGGCTTCCAGCTCCCGAGCCAAATGGGTTTTATACAACTGTTTGCTCTCCGACGGGTCCACAGAACTGGGTTTTCTTCATCGCTGAGACGTGTGCCCGCCAGCTAGGCCTCCCCCCCCTCCCGCCGCCCCTCCCGAAGGCTCACCACGCTCCAAGGGCAGGAATGGGGCGGGATGCAGCGGGAAGGGGTCCCTGCTCTCACCCTCCCTGGGGCGGAGGCCCTGGCTCTTGCCTCACAAGGGGCTCAGAGCTGAGGGGACCCCGTGGAGACCCCCACAGCTGCTAGGGAAATGCCGAGAGGGA